ATATATATATATATATATTTATTATTTTTATTATGTTGACCTTTCAGCCATGCCTGGCTAACAATACAGAAGTTACAATGGCGCAGCACACGTGCACTCATGTTACCGTATCCAATAAAATAAAACTGACCTTTAGTCTGTACAAAGTAACTTGTCTTGGCTCAATTTTAGTAGACTAGTATTTTGTAAAATACCATGATATTTCAATTATTATACATTATATATGTATATAGATTATTGCTATTTTGAAAGAAGTTCTTAAACTTATTTTTCTTAAAGCATAAAACAGTAAATAAAGAAGTAAAGCGAACAATTATTTCTTCTAATTACGACCTTTATACTCGGTTGTTGCTTGACATAGGTTACTAAGATTGCTAAGCCTTTAAGATGTAGATTGCTAAGCCTTTACAAATTTTGCACATGGAAGACATGAAACAAAATAATTTTTTTTAGGTTTTATATATATACATTTGAATAACTCAAAATTCATAAATTACTACATTAATACCATAAAATTCCACTACAATTTATCAAGCTTAGTAACTAAGATGTATTTTAGTCTAACAAAATATGAAATTTTGAACAGACTAAAGACACACCCTACCCCCTTGAAATCTTGGTTCAAAAAAAAGAAATGGCATCCAAGCCTATTAAAATGGCTGAGAAAGCCACTTGGGAACATTTTGAGCTTTCAATTGGTTACTCATGTCATATATAGAAGTGTATATAAGGGAGTGTTTCCAAAAATGGAAAGAGGTGCCACTGTGTTTGATTTATTACATGAGCAATATGTTAGCAAATAGAAAAGATAAGACGTTCTTATTTTATATTCTAGCTTGTCAATATTGGTAACTTGAGTTTCTAATTCGTATGAAACTATACACTTAGTATTTTGACTTCACAAACATCTAATTTCAACCAGTGCTGCATTCAACATAACATGTGACACACACAAATTGATGTTAATTTGTATTTTTTTAAATTTACTTTTAAAATAAGAAATTAAGTAATACATAGTACTAAAATTTGAATTATAATCTACAGTATGATACCAAACTTATTGACACAAATTCATGAAATAGTAGTTCAATAATTTTGAATGCAAGTCAACAAACGTGATGACATGGCCTTTGACACATGACTTGTCGTGAAAGGGTTAACACACCTTACCCTACTTAGGCTCAGCTTGGTGTGTATGCCTTGCTCTAATTTGTGCTGGTTGATTTAGGTTTCATAAAACCTTGTATTTGTACTGATCAACTAATGCTTCCACGTGACAAGTTATTCTCAGAATACACACTTGAAACATTAGCCTCTAGTTATTATTTAAACAGACACTGAAGGAAATAACATATTAAATAACAAAGAATAATTTCAGAATAAATATCAAATAATGCACGATAGAAACTACACCTAAATAAGTATTCTGGACATTAAAATTTATATTTTTCCTGATAACATGACTAAAAGATAGAGTTTGATGTTTATATTCTGCTGTGTCGGTACGATAAGTACACTTTTTCCACAAACACCTACCTAGGACCAAATGTAAGATAACATTTTAGTATTAGAAAATAAAAAAAATGCTCAAACATGGCAACTAGGCACGTGTTAGAATCTTAATCACAGAATGAAGAAGAAGCCATTTCATACTTGTTTCACATTTACCTTTTAACATTTTTCTTAATCAGCAACTCAACTAACTATTAGGTAGTCATGAAATTAATGTCACGTTTTGTACATCATGTATAATAGTTAAATAAACCACCTAGACGTCACTTTGCTGTAGCCTATATAATGTGTACAGTTTAGTATACTCTAACCTCTTATAGACGAGACACACATTAATGTCGCGTTTTGGAACACCTTTATTAACCACCCCTAAAAACGTACATCAGGTATAATAGTTAAAAGAATTGCCTAACGTCACGTTAGTGTAGCCTAGATAATGT